GTGGGGGGTTTGCCCTGGCTTATACTGCCAATGTAATGTTAGGTGGGGGGTTTGCCCTGGCTGATGCTGCCAAGGTGATGTTAGGTGGGGGTTGCCCTGGTGGGTGCATGCTGCCAAGGTAACATTATTTTAATAATTATTATTTCTTACTATCTTGCAATTTATATATTATGATGTATTGAGTATATAATCTTTATCTAAAACTTGGCCACAGTGGTGTAACCTACATATAAGTCACATAAGTGACATCTTTTTTCATTGCCATTTCTGTCTGCTCTTGATTCTAGGAGTCAGGGCTGTCCTCTTTAGTTGGCAATGCCCTCAGTACCTTTGCAGGCATACCAGCTTCTGCACTGGTGGTAATACTGGGGGCTATAGTGGCCTTCCTCACAGAAGTGACCAGTAACACTGCCACAGCCACACTTATTATACCCATACTGGGAGAACTGGTGAGTATGATATTACTGCCTTCTCATTATCAGAAATAAGATTATATACTAAATACATGCTTGAGAACTTTTAAGGGTTGTGAAAAATATATGTTAATGTTTTTTTTCTCCTTTTTACTATTTAAAATAATGCAAATTGTTATCTATGGTAAAATACTTTTGATAATTCTTCAAGGGGAACATATGTAACATTTTTGTTCAATTTCATTTTCTGTTACTACATCAGATACATTGTATCTTTTCAGTCCATCCAGATAGGTGTCCATCCCCTTTACCTTATATTTCCTGCCACTTTGGCCTGTTCCTTTGCCTTCATGCTACCTGTGGCCACCCCACCCAATGCTATTGTCTTCTCCTATGGGACTCTCAGAGTTAGGGATATGGTAAGCAATCTTCATTTTATCTGAATAGGTTTGTAAAAAAAAAATTAATGGATATGTTGAAAAATCTAAATGACATACTTTAACTGAATTAAGCTGCATTGATTTTCATATACTAGAACATTATAGACTGCCAATTTTGTTAATTTGATTTTTCAAGAAAATCTGTAGAGTGCATTCTGAACAGATGATCCATGGAGTAACTGATTTGCCGACTAAATATGACTGTCCTGAATGCGCTCATACAGTATTTAGAATTATTAGTCAATTAGCAATTCTGTGCATGGCTTTCAGAAGTCATCTTTGCTTCTCTGTTGTGGTACTTGCAGGTGGTTGCTGGGATAGGTATGAATATCATGTGTCTTGCGGTGGTTGCCTTGGCAACTAATACTTGGGGCTTGGCCTTCTTTAAGCTGGGAGAACCCCCACAGTGGGTTAAGGATCAGCATACAACAGTTCCAACTTCTCCAGCATTTACAGGCCTTGCCAGCACCATCTACAGTTTTCAAAACTGCACTGGCCTAACATAAAGATTATACTAATTTTCATACTGATTATTAAAGAGCATTATGGACAATTGTAGATTGTGGTGACTCACACTACAAAAAGATTTCTTCACATTTTTGATTCAGCTACATAAAAATTTTATAAACATTGATTTTTCAAAAATATTTGTAGAGTTCATTCAGAACAGATGATCCATGGACTAACTGATCTGCGGACTAAATATGGCTGTCCTGAATACGCTCATACAGTATTTTATAAAATATTCATGGATAGCTTAGTTTGCATTCAGCCAGAAATTAAGGATGGTCCCTGTTCTGTTTACACAATTTGGCTGTATCTACAGCACTCCAATATTACTGGGTACTGAGGATGTTCCAGGATGATCTCAATTTCCAGGAAAAACAACAAGAATTTATTAAAAATGTATCACATCAGATTAAAAATTGCTCACATCATGTAGATTATTTTACCAATTCCTATTATTATTATTATTATTATTATTTAAAATATGTTAATACATCATTAGTAATATTTTCATGTTTGAATGCATACATACAGTACAGTTTTTAAATTTAAGTTTAATTCTTGTCATCAGTTACATAATAAAGCATTCCAAACGTCATATTAATACTTTTTATGTGAGCACCCATGTTCCTTAATTGTCTGATAAATATTTTATATAAAAAGATAAAATACATGATTTTTATACCCTTCTTCTATACTTTTTTCGTTTACCATTTATTTCATAAAATTTTAATGTATGATGCTAAAGTTGCCAAACTCTTTATCGATTTCAATTCTACCGAGTATATTTCTGTATTACGTATGATGGTCCCCTGTGACAAACATTTCCTTCTCTAAAACATTGATAACACTTCCTCTGTCGACTTCTGACATGTAATACAAGATAATAGCTCGCCATCTCTTGGTACTTATCTTGTAGTCACCAAGACTTATCAGCACAATGGTGCCTCGTGGCGCCACCTGTTAACGTTTATTTTAAGGTATACTATCCGAGTTTGAATTTTCACTATTATTTTCATGTACAAGTGCATGTCCCGCAGAGCTACTTGTCTTTCCTAATTCAGACGATAAAATCCCTCAAAGAAAAATTACCTGATATCGATATTTACTTCTCAAATGTACAGGTAGACATGACAGTCTAAATTAATGTACTAAGAAGAAGACATTTTGATGTAGGCCTAAATAACTAAAATTAGAAATGGAATAAAACATCGAATCCAAGTGTTTGGATAGGTCTTGCTATGATTAGTCAGTAGGATAATTTGTTTTCTGAGGAAAATTCGATTTGTTGTAAAAATCCTGCATAGGATACCTTTAAAGAGCTTAACGTTTTGTTGTCAGTTTAGAGTTATGATAAGATAGAAACAGTATCAAATGATGATAGAAGAGACAGTGATGTCAAAGGGGGGTGTTTGCCGCCATGAAATCACTATTTTTATATTTCAGATTAGATAGAACATTTAATTATAGGGCTGTGTAAGTTAATTCAATGGAAAACGGAATTTCGTTAGCTTTTTAAGAAGCCCGTTCTAGCATTCTACGTCTCACTGCAGTAAATATAGGAAGTAGCAGTTCATCTGCACTGTTATAATAGGCCTATGTATTCAATAAAAATAAAGGCTAATTGTTATTTCAGCTCATTTTGAGGCACTCCTATCACCGTACACCTGTACTTCTACTTCAGGAGCAAAACAATTGCTCCAAAATATGACGTGTAACGAATACAGAGATGAATTCTTTTTATTCTCGCTCTAACTCTAATCGTTAGTGGATTTGTTTTATCATGCATAAAGTTTAACATGAATTCATGGCACATTACCTGTCGGCCCAGTATTCAATTAGACGTAGCCTGGAAGTCGACATTTTATATCTTAAGAATCATTAATCTAACTCAACCATGCTGATTCTACGTGAAATATGGGATTTGCGAAAAACATGGGTTATAATAATTACTCCATTACTACTCCTGCCCCTGCCCCTTTTTCTGGGAACACCTCACTCACAGGTAAGTGGTTTTCAGAGAATTATCTAACAAAAAAGGGTATCTTAAGCTGTATTGGAACACGGTTTTGCGCTTTTGTCGTGTGCGTAGAACATTAAGGATAACGTGTGGTATCCTCGTAAATT